TCTCTACTCCATGTTACCTTTTTACTTCCAGTTGCTCCGGCTCCTTCAGCTGATCCACTGCAGAGTGTGACAGATGTGGGAAGCTCCCAAACAGCTTCAGCTGTAAAAACAGCCACAAAGAAATCACTGAGCTTCTCTGCTACAGCTTCATCATTCCTATCTGACCCTTTTATACCCTTGTCATCAGCCTTCCCACTAATTTCCTAGCTGCCTTTGCGGCTTTGATGCATTTAAAGAGCCTTTTATCAGCAGTTAGAGCATCCTTTGCAAGGCAATTTACAGATTCTTATTTTTAGCCCTATTTATTTCCTGCTTAATTGTGACCCGACATGTTTTATGGGTTTCCCTGTTCTTAGACCACTTTGGAGTTTTAGGGTTGGGTCTGGGGATTTTTTTTGACTAGTTGCTGCAAAAATCGGTATCTTCATCTCACACCCCAAAATCTGGGAGAAATCAATTTAATCCTCCTGGGAACCCTTAATAAGCAGAGCTGCTCCATCCACAAACACCAGACAAGGCTTTGAAACAGGGAGTATTACTGGGCTAAAAAAGAAAGGGTGAAGGGTGGGAAACTGGGAAAAAAATAGCAATTGATGACTTTGCAGTTTGCCAAACTTGACAAATGACAGTCCTCCTCTCACAGGAGTGGCAGATGTATGAGGCAGTGCTAGGCTTGCCTCGCTTGCCTTTCTGTGGTTTGTGGCCCTGGGCTAATGAACCCCAAATTTCAAGCAGGATCCGCTGTCCCTGGGTTGAGCCAGGGTCCAGTCACCCTCCTGAGCCTGGTGGTCCCCTCAAAACCAGCTAGGGACAGTGGTGTTCACCGAGGCATTTGCCTGACTCCCTTCAGCCCTCACCTGAGTTTCCCTAAAAGCTCTCTGTACCAAGGGTTTCGGCTGAGGAAGCTGTTCCTAGCAAGGAGGGGAGCACTTCTGGCTAGAGGAGATGCTCCTTTTCCCTTACCTCTGTTCCTCCTGTTGGAAGGAGCGCTACTGTTCACAACAAACCATCAAAGTCAAAGGAAGTACACAAGAAGTGAAAGGTCAAGCCCTTGGGTCTGCAGTGGTGTCTTACCTTCATTGCTCGCTCTTACTTGTTTATGCCTCTGGCCTGGCACATCACATGCAGGATCTATGTAAAAGAGTCCCAGAAAGGAAACAAGGAGTGGTTTTCACCAGCAGGTAACCAGAAAAATGCAAAATGCTTCCTTCTTTCAGGCCTGAAAGGTGCTGCCTTTCACATGCAAGTTTGGATGCTGGGCCTTGCTGGGGAGTGTTTGGATGCAGGGTTTTATGTCTCATTTTCAAGGCTGGCTTCAGGCATAAGCAGTGCAAAACAGCACAAGATCTATCAGGCCTGATTAAGCCCATCCTTACCCTACTGTCCCATCACGTTACTGTGTGACAGCTCCTCTAAGGCAGCTGCCCAGACCCAGGCTCTTAACCCACAGCCACCCACGGCACCATACCACTCCCCTGCCACCCCGCATCGCTTGAATGTGCTCAGGTGTATCCAGATAAATGAAGAATGGCACGTGACTTAAGCGAACCCAATACCCCATACAAGTATTTGTCACAACCATGCAAACCTCTGTCCTCAACTCATTTAGCATTTTTTAGTACACCCTGTGCAGATGTGCCAAGCAATCTCTCCAGTGTAATTTTTGGTCAGGACAAAAGTAGGCAGCAGACTTGAGTGGCACCATCTTCCCACGTACTCTGTGGGTTGCGTGCCAACAGGACACCCTGTATCTCAGGGGAGCAGATGGATAGAAGATCCCAGGATGTGAAATGAGTTGCAGCAGTTCCCTGAAGCCCCTCACCCTGCCGGCAGGCAAGTCCTCTCCCGCACCAATGGGTGAGGGTTGCACTCAGCTCTCTTTCCCATGCCCGGTTGGATTTTGAAGGATGGGCAGCTGAAATGATGCATGAGTCAAGCAGCAGCAGTCATAAAAGACCACAAAGAGCTATTTTCCATCATCATATTTCCCAACAGAATCACACATTGCTAATAGCCAAACAGAAGTGAAATATCTGAGAGTTTGCCCTTTCGGTACAGAATTCCAGTCCAGATAAAAAAGCTGTAGCAGCCTTTGAAATGCTAACGAGTAGTAGGCTTACAGTAGTATCTGATAGCCCTTCCCCAGCACAGGCTAAATGAGAACAGGTTGCAGTTGCAGAAATTAGCTTTGAACTAGAGCAATGAAAATTCCTCTGCAGTTAAATGACGCAAACACCTGACTATTTTTGCTGCTTTTATTATCGATGACAGCAAATGTCTAGATATCGCACCCCCACTAAAGTTTTACTGCATTAAAGTTTCGTTTATCATTGAGCTTTCAGCTGCATTTCCAACTCCTATTGCTTTGTGAAAGAATGACAGATAACACTTAAAAGCCTTTTCATGTGCCTCTTTAGCAGGCTACTGTTACATGTATTTTAAGGATCCTCTGCATTAAGCTGATGGAACCAGGCAATTTATCTCAATGAAAGACCATGATGTATGGGCTGTTACTCTTGATATAAAGAAATCCTTTTATTAGACTCCATGTAACCCCAAGTTTCAGTCTGCCCTACAAAGAAGGGGAGGAGGGAGTATCCAAGCAAAAGCAGCCAGCTGAAGGAAGTGGAATTCTACACTGAGCTTCATGACTTTTGCCACTTGTTCTGCCTGTATCCCACCCATTTTTCAGTGTCCCACCCCATGCAAACTCCCTGGAGTGTTCTGCTGGCAGCAGAACCTTTTCCTGCTGCTGAAAAATCAGAAAGAAGGCGAAAAGGAAAGGGCTTAGCAGAGGGATTAGAGGCAGCGAGCATCTCCTTCACCCTAGGAAGGGTGGGAACACACAGGGCTCAAAGAAAAAGAAGGGGGCAGCAGGCATTGGGGGGGCCATACTTTAATGAAACTGTTGGGGAAGGGAGCTGGTCCCCCTTCTAGGGCTCTTCTAGCTGGAGGAAGGACGGGGCCTCTCCACCTCTTGTGCTAAGGATAGCCACCATGCCTTGCTTTGGTTCTCATGGGCGAGTACTCTCAGAGGAAAAGTCAAGAAAATAAGACCAAATCTCTACCATCCTTTCAATAAAGGTATCATGAATAGCTAAATCGAGCTAGCCCTGCTTGCATGGAGTAAAGGTTGCCTTGTGCATGTTGAGATGCACACAGCCAGTGTGGAGGGTGGCTAAAGCCACCAAAACCTGGCCTCCTACAGACACTTGCCAACGGCAGGTGCTGTGCAGCCAGGTGACAGCAGCAAAAGGGACAGGAGTCAGCTGGAAGAAAGAAACAGTGAAAATCCACTTAGACAACAGAAAGAAAATTGCACCTTTTCTCACCAGGCTACTTCTAAACTACCACTCATTGCAGGCAGTTCAGAGAAAGCAGGGTCTGTCTTCTTTTGCTAGAGAAACCACATGAGAAAGATCAGGACTGTTTAGTTCCCAGTTCTCAACTGCATAACTGGCAAGTGGGAGCTGGTTTTGATTACTGAGAGCACTGGAACAACCTGTCCGCATGCACATCCTGGTAACCTCTACAGTCACACACTGTGCTTTCTACCACTGGCCCCCAAACTTGCTATTTAAGCTGAAAGACAGGGTTTTTTTTTAGCTGTGTGACATTAGCAGACCCATATGCACAAAGCTGCAATCACAGAAAGCAGCTTGTCCAGCATTTTCAGAGGAGACCCAGCTGCACCAACTACCCAGTTCCCACCGAAAGCGATCACAGAAAATTGGTGCCAGCCTCACAACAATAAACATTTAACCTTCATTAAGATTTGATAATATTCCTGATCAGAACCTCTGAGTGAAAGCTGGGTGCTGATGTAACCAGTCTGTGCACACTTGTGTCTAAACTCTGCACAAGTTTTAACATAAAATAGTCTCTGGAGTTGAAAAAAAACCCCTTACACCACCGGGCAGCAACATAAGAAAGCCTTGGTACTGAGAAACAGTAATGTTTAATAGGAAAAGTTAATCTGCACATACAAAAAACAAACCACAAAATACAACATGGAATTAAATGATATTTTAAATGAACTTAACCTATAAATATATGTACATATTTGTGCATATATATATATTATATATATATAAAGAAATGTTAATGCTAGTCAATAGATAATGCATGCTCTGTAGAGTATAGTAAAATGTGGATTCTTTTACAGACAGATTTATTGAGTGTATGTAAGAAATTTAAAAAAACCCATCCATAAGATCATTCAATCAGAACATAAAGAGTGCAAGAGGAAAAAAAAAAAAAAGCTTGCACTTTCCACAGGAGCTGAGAATGTAAAATCAGTGTCATTGTGCAAGATGGAGAACAACAGAGTTTATTTGAAGATGCTGTTTCTTGTCATTGTATTGGGAAGGAAGGCTGCGTAAAAGGTCAGACAAGTACCGTTGTCTCACACAATGCATGTCAGTAGAGATCCAAACAGAATGCTTTCAGATAGGAAATGTTGGGGGGTTGAGGAGGGGAAAAAGACTGTATCTGATACAGTAGAGAGAAACAGGTCAGGTTCTCATGAAGAACAGTTTTGATCTGTTCAAAGCCATGCAGGCTGCCTGTAGCTGAAATGGAGTGAGCACAAATACAGGCAAAGCTCTGGGTGCTGACTTTTTTCAGCATCATGCATATTGCCTGGACCATCTTCCAGAAGAACTGAAAACAGCAGGGTTAAAATCCTGGTATCTTGTCTACCCTCACTCTCTTGCCAATGTACTGGCCTCCTGAAAGAAGCCTAATGTTTATTGGAGTCCGTTAGTTCTTTTAAAAGTCATCTTCTTCTCCATACTCTTTCCTTCATTTTTCCCTTATTTGAGAGAGTTGTCCATGACCTCTTTCAAGCAGGGGTCTTCCTTTCGAAATCTTCAGAGAACCTGGGGTTATGGACTTTGTTGTCTTTTCTGCTGAAGTAACTGCATTGCTGAGAGGCTGTGAAACTCTTTGGTCTGACCCATGGTCGCGATGGACATCCATCCTTCTACCACTCTGGTCACTTAGTATCTGCTCTGCATCCTAAAGCCCTCAGACTCCCGTGATGCTTCATACTACACAGAATTTGGACAAGAAAAGAAAAGAAATAAAGAGTAGCCCTGGGTCAGAGAGCTCCTTTCTCAAAATAGTTCACCGTGTAGCACACTGCACATGATAGCCCTCTCTCTGTGACACACCAGCCCTCAAGGACAACCAAACAGGCAGATTTTCATCAGCAAGAAGTTGACATCTTTGGAAAGTTAGAAATGGCAAAATCTACGTGAATCTGATCAATCAACTAACTAAATAGATGTTTTTCTACTCTTAATTGGCAGCTTTTTAAAAGCGGATTTTGGTTTTTTTAAACATCAGGTTTCTGTGTTGCTTATATCACAGTTTAGGCCTCAATTCTGCAAACATGTAAATGTATTACAACTAAACAGGTTTTCTTCACTAAACAGGGTAGTTTCTTGCACCGCAGAGGTGGAGCTAAAATGTCATTTAAACACAATTTGAATGGACAATGTGCTTCCTATTTACTCGATGCATGCAGAACCCAGCAAATCAATCATATCACAGCATAGCACTTCTCAAGCCTCTGCTTCCTCCACAGCTCCCTTGCAGGGTTCAAGGATAAAACAGGCCGTTTTTTCAGAACACACCTTTCAGCTAATGACATGCCTCTGCTGAACAGGCTCCCCTGGGCTATATCAATGCAAAAGCTGTGCTAGCTTTTTCATGGCACTTGACACTTACCCCTTTGCAATGCTGCAGCAACTGCAGAGGGTCTTGCTGTGAACTAGGCATTGGCAGAGTGGGTGGGAGGACACCGACCCACTGGGCAGCTGTGCCAGCTTAAGCTGACTGTGAATCTTGCATGAGGCTGCAACTGGGAAGTGCCAGTGCAGCACCTATTGACACTACAACCAGCTTAAAAGCAGCACAGGTTACAAGAGCCTGTGATGTTTGCATGCGCGCCTGTGCTGAAGGACGTGTTTGGTCAATGCGGACAAATGTCCTACAACACAGCAGACCACTGCCCAGCCAAACTGTTGCTTTGACCCTTGCTTTTCACATATCCCTCCTGTGACTCAAGGATGACTACTGGGGCTTTAGAAAGGTCTTCATAAGGTGAGTGCTGATCTCTGTATTCAGGGAAATTTTTTTCAGCTGCATCTACACTTGTTTGGTTGCCTTTGCACCACTTTGGCCTTCTAGATCAAGGGAGGATGGACAGAGTGGAGTTTAGGTTCCAACAATGTCTGTAGCCCGTAATGCTACAGTTCAGGAACGCAATTCTCGTAGGCCTGTGTGAAATACTTACCAAATCTTCATAATCCCTCTCTGGAAAATGACGTCTATTTGCAGAACACATCTCATATGGGTTGTTTGGCTGATATCCTGGGTTTCCATGGCCAGAAGTGGTCTGGACTCTGGGGAACATTGTGGTCTGTCCGTCATCAGAGGTATCTGGGTTGGAATTTCCTGACTTTATCAGTCTTTTCTTCTCTGGATCTTGTTTGCGTTGGGCTCTTCAGAGGAAATGAAAGAACAAAAGAAGTTTTAAAAGACATTTTAGTGTGCCTTACTGAGTAAGTCCAACTTATTGAGTTATCCACTCCCACCTTATTTTGAATGCTCAGTCCTGTTCTGAAACATGCAACATGCAAGATTTTTCTAGCATACCTATTGCAAAACACTTGTTATCAATGATAGGGTACAAAGATTGGTGTCTCTTATCACAGGTGGGGCTAAGCTGCTAGGAGAGACAGAGGGGGACTTTGGCCTCTTTTAACTAGTTCCTAGAGTGAAGGAGTTTCCTTAACCACCACTAGCTCTAACTGACTGTTCAGAGGAAGAAATGAGGCATTCATTAGGCCTGATTAAGAAAAGTTGCCCTCATGCCTGCAGCGAAAGCTGGACACTCAAATGATGCATTTGGATTCTCTGTGATCACAAGTCCATACACCCCACACACACTTGGCACCCGCTTGTGCACCTGCTGGCGAGCTATGCCTGCTATGGGCGGTCTTGTAGGCATCTTTACCTGGGCAGTGCTGAGAGCAAAGGCAGAGGAGCTGCTTGAGAATTTCTATATTTATTGTGTGGAGAGAAGTGAGGAGGTGCAACTGTAATTGGGAATTTGCTAGTACACTGGGAATAGCAAGCTTTAAAGAGATGCTTGGCTGGAAATGCTTGCCTGTATTGAGCTGAAAGGAGCATGCCAGGCCTTGAGCTGAAGTGCTAGCAGGGAAAGCTGCAGAGGGTCTGAATTTGGGCCACACAGTCTTCTGATATTAGCATCCTTTGTCCATCTCATCCAGATGCCATATCAGGACTGGCTAGGGCAGGATTATAATTAGTGGGTCAGATGTGTATTCTGAAGACTTGGCTAAAGCTTTCTGAATTCACAGCAAGAGAACAAATACTTCTGGGAAGAGCACACAGGCAAAACCAAATTCTAATGGCTACATGACTTAAATGAACTTGTCTGCCCAACTAGGCATGCAACCATATTCACAGCCCTGCCCCTCACTAAATTTCTGCTTAGCTCTCTACGTACATGCAGAAATGCAGCTTCTATTCAATTGTAAGAAATAATCTTACCTTACTGAAACAATAGAGACTGCTATCACTAAACTCAGGATAATGGCTCCAAACACTGTACCCACTATTATAAGGATGAGTTCACTATCTGGAAACAAACAAACAAACAAACAAACAAACAAGAAACATCAATTGAAAACTCATGGTAAATATTGAAAACCAAGTCCTGTCCCTGTCCTCTTACTATGAAAGAGAGAAAGAGAGAAAGGAAGAAAGGAAGAAAGAAAGAAAGAAGAAAATATGAAAGAAATAGAAAGAAAGAAAGAGAAAGAAAGAAAGAAAGATGAAAGAAATATGAAAGAAGATGTTATTCATTCCCAGGCTTCTGGTGCTGTCTCAGTACAACTGTCTGTGGACACAGAAAGATGTACATTAAGGAACTGATCTGCATTAAACACCATCTCTTCTGGATGGCTATTTTGATCCCAGCTCAGGGTCCTAATCTCATGCACTGAATGGCTTCACATAGTTATAGCTGAGGGACAGGAACAACTGGGAGGGTGTAGGGGTTGCTTAAGCTAGTATTGCTGCTAAAATAAGTAGTTAGGCATCAAATAGGCTCTTGTCATGCCCTAGGCACATAAGGCACACCAATCCGAGGTGTCTATTATGTGGCACTATGAACACTGCATAAATATGCTATATCTGAATAAATGTTTGGCAAGGAAAATTCATTTTCACTGATCTTGCTGCAGAACCAGCATGACTAAGGGAGGAAGACATGGATTCTGTATATCTTCCTTCAACTGTGAATGGAATTGCTATTAAAACCTGGTCTTAGCTCAGCATAGCCATGGTAAGAAAAAAAAAAAGATAATTGTGTCCTCCAACACATAATTTCAAGACAAGCGTGTGAAGAGTAAGACAGTCTCTTGAGCTACCCAACCTTACTGGTGATACCTACTTGAAGATCCCAGTCTGGATTTATGAGTTTGCCATTTAATACACTGAATGCCTGTACTGGAGATACACAACATGAAACCACCAACTGTGCCATTACCAGCAGAACAATCCAGCACATTTAATCATAGGACCATACATCGAGACAACAGGGAATATGATTAGTTGAAAGAACGTTATGCCAAACACATCTGTAAAGTATCTTTGGTTATTGCTCAGCAAACTTTTTATATCAATACCCACTCAGTGCTATATGGAGAAGATGTGGCTATTAATGGAGTTTGTTATCAGCATGTCTCAAATTCATGTTTAAATTCAGAATGTGTTGATTTTGTGCTGATTTAGCATTTTCATTTGCTTTATGAAAAAAGCCTTAACATTCCCAAAACTTTCTCCAGAAAAATATGTTCCATGTGATAAAAAATATCCTTCCTGCCAAACATTTATACCTAGCAAGATTCACTGTGCTGCACTACAACTACCGTTAGCCAATCTCCAAAAATTTTAGGCAAAACCAGAAAAAAACCCTTGAAGATCTCATTGCGGCAGACACAGGTACGTTAAACGTATATTAACATGTATAAGTTTAAGAATGCAGCAGTGTGAGACTCCGAAGGGCCACATGAGGATATAGCTTTTGCACAAATAAAGCCAAAGGAGTTGTGAGAAGTTGTCGTGGTTTAACCCCATAACTGTTTGGTTTTAAGTCTGCCTTTGACTGTATTAGATGTTCCGAGTTTAGGCACATGCAAACACTAGCAGGCATGAAGAATGTCCTCTCCTAATCTATATGATGGTGGAAACTGGAGAAGGTGCAGTGAACAGCTGCAAAACTGACTCAGAAAGGGAAAAAGCTTTGGAAGGCCTGGCTGGTTAGCTTGTCCAGATGATTACAATTATGGGATAACACAGTTGAGGCCATCATCTCTTCACCAGTATACAGTACTAAATACTATGCAGTGCTTGCAAGGTAAAGCACAAACAAGAACCAGTGGTTAGATATTAAAGCAGAAATATTTCAAATGAGAGTAACCCACTGATGTTTTAATAGAGGGAGTGATTAATTACAGGAGAAACTAATCTGTTAGTGGTGCTGAGTTCAGCATTGCACATCTTCAGATGAGGACTAAATGTTTTTCTGTCAAATAACCTGTCTTTGACTAAAAACTACTGGGCTTAATGCAGAGGTAATTAGAGAAAATGCTACTTTCTGTCTGAACATGAGTTTCAAGGAGGATTTTTCCTTCCAGGCAACAATGGAATTTCACTTGTTTTTTCCTAACATTTTCCTGCTATCAATACAGGATGGTGGCACCCCTAAAGACTACTACTTGTTATTTTTATGTCAGTCAGATTAAACATTACCAGATATTTTTCCATTCTATAATTAAAAATCAGAAATTCTTGTACTTACTGTTATTGCAGTTCTCCCCAGAGTAGCCCACTGGACAACTACATGAGGGAAAAAAGAAAAAAGGGGAAAGAAAGAAAAGAAAAGAAGTATAATGTCATTAAGCAGATGATCACAAAACAATAGTGTATTTCCACCTTTTATCAGCAGTTTCTCTGCAAGGTGTGTTCATTAAAGGTTTCCTCTTTAATGCTATCTTAATATTGAATTCTTTAGCTTTATTGTTAGAGTAAAACAATCTGAGATTTTCAGAATGATTGGTGAGCTGGGCTCACCAAACTCAAAGTTTCAGGGTTCTCAGCCTGAAAAATGTTAAAAGGGCCTAATTTCTCCAAAGAACTAAGCCCTACACCTCTGAGCCACTTGGAATTGCTACCCACTCTATCAAAAGCCTCAATATAAGGACTGGTAGCTTTTTATTTTCCTCCCTTACTAGTTTCTTGTATTTAAAATATTTTGACTTTACAGTAAGAAGTGTTCAGTGTGTAGAAGCAGTAACTACAAAAAGAGCGGAATTAATGGATATGGGAAGTAAGGTCCCTCTGCTTATCCACTGGAGCAGAGCACAACCAGTCACTTACTTAGCTTCACTAGCAAACAACACTGCTCTGTTCTGATCCTGAGCTGACAGAAATACCCACAGAGAGAAAACCAAGATGAAATAACATAGGTCTGAAAGTTATCAGGAAACAGAGTCCCCACTGACATCAGTGGAAACTTTCCAGGGATCTGGGGCAAGTCTTGCTCTAATGCCTGTTGCTTGCTAAAAGCTTCAGCATACCAGTTCTCATGGCTCAATTACTCTGAAGGAATAGTTTATGTTTATGTGGGCAACCCACAAAATAAGTGTGAAGTAGTTTATCCTCTTCACTGACTCACAGATGACCTTGGTTCTCCTTGACCTTCCTCTGAAGTATTATGAGTGCACACCAACAGCTAATGCCAAGCAGTTAAAATGCCATAACTTGTGATACCATGGGAATTTGTCTACCTGCTAACCACCTTAGGCACCTCTCTGATTCACCTAGCTGCAGCCTGTTCTTCTAGACAGAGGGTGACCCCATGCTAGATGGTCTTCTTCCCTATCTTTGCCCAGAACACAGGAACGCAAGAAAAAGCTGAGTACTCACGGTACGCATTTGTCATTCTTCTTTTCAAAGTTAGGCATGCATTTGCATGTTGGAGTCCCTTTTTCTTTTGCACAGTACTTGTTTTCTTCTGCAGAACAGTCTTTACTGCAATCTGTATTTTCAGAGGGAAAAAATACAGAGTGAATTGAAGATAGCCCCCAAAAAATCAACATTGGAGAAAATCTCCCCCTCCCGCCCCCTTTTTTATTGCACTGTAAACACACAACTTTGTTGTGCTTCAGAGCATCAGAATGGCTTTTTTTAGGGCTATACCTATGTAGAACAGAAACTGAAATACAAAAGCACAAAATTAGAAGTAAATGGTCATTGTTTAAAACCATTCAGCTTCATCAGAATGGAAATCTGGCTAGCCTGCATCTTACATAGGCAAGCCACAACCTGCAGTTTGGTCTCACAGCAGATGATTTGTATTGCAACTGATCTAAAACTGGATCAGCTTTAGACAGGTTAGCGGCCACAAAGGCCTTCACTAGATCACATCTCAGTGTCCTTTTTTATAGCCAGCTTTCATTATTTTATCATGAGTATTTGCTATATTTGTTGTTTTTCTTAAAATCTCATATCTTAGACCTTTTTCTGTAGGGTGAAAATTTTAGTGCTCATAACTAGAAAATACAGTACATCTCAGGGCTATGGAGGATAGCTAAAAATATAAACAGAGTACTCATTAAAAGATTCAAAATGAACACGTAAATAAAACCCCAACAACTAACAGTTCCTAAAAATCACATAAAACATTCTTCCCACAAAAAGCTGTCTAAATACAGGTAATGCAATCCTAGAACTACCAATGAGGGACAGAGCTTTAACAGATCGTTGTAGTGCATCATGAGACTTCCACTTCTGTCAGCATCCCCCCATTGCTGCCTCCAGGTAGCATGTAGAATTTATTCCCAAAATATGTCCTAGCAGGGAAGGCTGTGAATCTAGGATCCAATTTGTTCCATCCTTTACCTATTTAGGTTTCAATTCTTACCAAAAGTTTAACAATGCATTTAAAGAGTTGCCTATTCAGGCTTTAGTAGTTTATTCTACTGGAATAGAATTATGGAACCATCTAAAGTGAAACATGAGAATGTGTTTCTGTGGCTTTCTTAAAAAGACACACATTCCCTGATTTTTAGAGGTTAGCCCATTTGTGGAGCGCCCTTTTCAAAAAGGGACTGAGACAGGGAATAACCAGGTCAGCCTTTCAGGGATAGATAAAGTAACAAGGTTCTTACCTGAACAAGAACGATCATCCCATTCTGTCTTTGAGAAACTACTTTTGCATACGCATTTTGGAAACATACTTTCTACGCAGTTTGTGGTCTGAACATCACATTTAAAAGCAGCACAGTAGGATGTAGCTTTAAAACAGAAACAGGAAGCAAACCTGAGTACTAATAATATCATTTCATAGAAAGCAGTGCACTTGCTCAGTAAATCATAAACCAATTATTTAGCAATTCAGAAAAAAAACTTCTAAGTCCTTTTTTTGGACATCAATACTGCAGGTATTTGAACCAGCCCTTTCTTTTCCCTTGCTCTTTACCAGTTGAGGTCCTGTTTCCATCACATCTTCTGACCTTCTGTTTCTCAGCCTCCTACAACTGCCTCCAAACCTTCCTGTCCTCCAGTCCACAAGAGGGAAATTCTACCCATAAGTTCATATTCTGAACACTGACTTTCTGCCTTACCTTAAAAAAACTATAGAAAACCCCCAGCACTATTCACTTAGTTTTTCTTACAGCTGAACTGTGAGGCCCAGATCCCATACAGTGCTACACAGATATAAATATTTATGGGCATGCAGCTCATTTCATGAGCAATATTAGTATCCTGTTTGCCCAGCATGTTGCTCTTTAGATCCATGTCCTGGTGGTGGGAATGGTTTGCAAACCTCAGTGGGTGGCATGCAGTGGAGGGATGTGATTGCACTGTGCTTTGCGAGCTCGTAGTGTTTCTCTATTTCCCCCTCACATTTAGGACCAGTACACAGGAAATGTCATGACTGAGGTGGATACAGTCACCTTCAGAGACCAAACTCAGGCTATCAGTCATGAAATGGACTCCTTTAATTATTAGCTACAACTTTTGCAAAAGCTGATTTCAAAATAGGAGCTTTTTTTTTTTAAGAGAAAAAAGTCCATATTTTATTTAGAAAATCATTCTCCAAATATTATACTTTTAGTAATGCAAGACTTTACTGGTTTAGAACAATTAATCACTTAGCTCAGTAGCTAATCAGTGAGGCCTCATTTCAATTAATTATGGAAGAAGTCTAAAGAGAGTTTCATCCATTTTACCAGTAAAATACCGACTTATTCTCAGAAGCAATATATATGTCTGTATATATTTGGTCCTGATTTTTCCAGCCACTTAACACTCAGCAGATTAAAATCAACATGCCATTGCTTACTTGGGAATAAGCATTTTCCTTCTCTTCTTTACACAGGAAGCAGAAAGCCTTAATAAGACAAAAAAGCCCAGCACGGAATGGTTGAGTCTTCAAAATTACCCAAGATTGAACATTCAGCTCCTAAAAATCAACAAGGCTTGTGGTCTGATGGGCTTTGCTGCACACAGAGATGTTCTAACCAGCGTTGAAGATAGGAACCTCTGTTTCTACTGATTATTTACTCCCACAGTAAGGAATTACATACCTCTGTACTGAGAGACGTAGGGTGAAGTTTCTACTGCATTAGTTACTGCAGAACTAACTGCCTTAATGTTTACAGTTGAGTTCTCCATAAACAGGTTTGCCACTGTTACACTCACTGGAAGAGAAGCTCTGCCTTCTTTTACAGGTCTGAAAAGTACAGATGATTGATAGCATCATTTTAAAGTCTCATATAATCCATATGGATAACAAGCTAGATGCACAGACAAGAGAAGATTTCTACCAAACCTCCCTCTCTCCCCTAGCTTCTGCCACCCCACAATGTAGGTAATTACTAAGACACCTGAAAATTAGTTCAAATCTTGCTTAGGAATACATTAATGGCCATCTTTCCAGTAGATCCAGATGTGAATAGGTAGCTGGTAAGCAAAGGCTGTTTGATTTAATGCTAACATCACTCCTTTGTGTGCTGTTGGCACGTAACTGGTATTTTTTTACTGGGCTAACCTCAAGCCATCTGCAGTGTGGAGGACCTTATCTGTTAGACCCTAACTTTTACATGTTCCTATCAGCCTGTGGTGTTATCCAGGCATGACATGGAGAACCCATCCTGAAGCATGGTGAGGATAATTCATGGTATGACCACAACGAATTCAGAAGGGTCTGTTTGCAATGTAGAGGTATCTATGCTAACTGCATCCTGGCTGGGTTGGGTTCAGCTGGACAGCAATCTCCCTGGGGTGAGGTGGAGAACAGCAGTGACTACCTTGTTCCTCAGCTGAACTTCGTGTTGCTGGGATATGCACACAAATACCTTTAAGTGCTAGATTGCGGTAGTGCCTTAAGATGTTACTGTGTCCCATGTGTTTGTCACAACCGCTCTGCTGGAAGTTACTGCCCTCACAACTCTGCTAGAACAACAGTCTGCTTAAGTGCTTAATCCATGGGGTTTGCTGAAAGGGTTTACACTGCTGTGTCTGCTAGCATGCCAGGTTTTGCTTGATGTGGGTTAGGGAGCACTCACAGAGAAGCTGGCAGAGCTCTGGGGACAGTAACGTAACAGATGTGGATGGGAAGAGAGGGATATCTTACAGTGTCTGCCTAGATCAGCAAAGGACCTATGCCTGCAGCTACAGTCACCATAGCCCATTCAATAACATCTTTGCTCAGCCTGCCACCAGGAGAGACCAGCAAATGCACAATGAGATGCAGTGGCCTTCTATAATGAGAGTGTTTCTTAAATTAAACTGGGACTCCAGGTTAGACCTGTTCACAGGAACCTCTGAGTTAACTGTTACAATTTCAGAGACATGTCAGATATCATAGGAACTGCTAGTTATAGCACAGTGCTATATCCTACGCAGTGCTAAAAGTGGGACATGCACTGTGGAGCTCTCTCAGCCATCCAAATTCACAGACATATTGGAAATCCAGGGGGTAAAAATGTCTTTAAAAATACGAAAAGAATGTCCTCCATTAGCAGGAGGCATACTGAACTGAACTCATCCCATATCCTTTCTTAGACTGAATACTCCATGGGAAACAGATTAAAATGGGGTGTGTGGGAAGCATGTACTGTGCAAAAACCAAACTGACAAACTTACTGAATTTCCACGATGACAGTCTGTTCAAAGCCTGCTAAATATTTGAAGGCATCCTTAAACTATAAAAGAGAAATGAATTGGAGTTAAAGGCAAGCAGAAACATAGACCAAAAGCATATGAACCACTGAGGCTTCAGCTGTAAAGTTTTAATCCAGAACATGCTACTATAGGCACAAATAAAGCAAGCTGATTTGTCACATCCACCGTGCAAGATATTGCAGAAGAGGAGCAGTGGGGTGGTGCTGCAGAACAGGGAATATGGGAGAGCAGTGGAGGAATGGAGAGACAAGAGTTGAATGGATGTCAGGCAGTGCATTAGGGTTGACTGGCTGGATAGCTACAGATACTCCCTTGTAGACTCATCGCTTAGAAGGGCGTCTCTGCGGTACCAGCTGTGGTGGTGCAGCACTCCCCAGGCCACATTGCAATGTCAGAACCAACCAACATTGTGTTCTTTTGCAGTGACTTGGGACAATCTGGTACTTTCTTACCCTGCCTATGGTACAGTGAATCAGGATGATTAGGCACTCCCTAATCATACCTGAAACTCCTGTTGCCTAGAACTGTACCTGAAACTCCTGCTGCTTCGATCATGGCCCGCCTTGGAGGGTGCCAGAATTGCCTGACAAGAATTGTGGCCAGAATGGAAATACACTGACCAAAGTCAATCATCTCGCAACCCTGTAAACAGTGATCGTAAGTGAGACCCTTTGAGCTCTCTGGGATCACTGCAGGCTGCGACTCAGTATCTCCCTCTGAGTTGGGATGCCTCTCAGGGTAGATTTCACAAGGATTTTTAAAAGTATATTTCCAGAGGATTTTAAGTAGTAGATGTCGTGAGGATTTCAAAGAGTAGAATTTGCAAGGATTTCTATGATTGTCTGCTGATAGATGCTGACAAAGAAGGGGTCAAATATCGTCTGCTGACAAATGTCGATGAAGGAAAATGGTGACTGATTCACTACAATTAGATTTCCTGAGGTTTTAAAGATCATTTGGTACTAATAATTTACTATAATTGGCCAAGAGAGAAAAATCTTGATTATAGGTTAACCTCTATATCTGTGTGTGTGTTTGTGTGTGCGTGCAATTTGATTTAGGAAACTTTGTAGTGCTGATAACAAACTTTATTAAATCACTCTGATAATTGGCAGATATTATATACTGATAAGTATTGTTAAAAATCATATAACCTAATCTTGTGATTTACTGTAATAGTGTTAATAAATCTTAAACTGCTGCTACCTCAAAGTAATGTAGGATCCATAATCACTCATTCCCTGACAAACTGGCATAGTAATTTAATGGGAGTTTTTCCTTACACTTTGTATCCCTTCTACTAGGCATAAACCGTTGTCCAAGTTGGATCTAGCTGCACCTAAGCTCCATCAGGAGTTTAGAAAGCAAGTGGGCCCATTCTGAACCTCATGATTCAATGGGATGGTCTCCCTTACCCTTCTGCATCTCCGCTCTCTGTGTAAATCATTCTAACTCAATTCTAATTTTATTTTACTTTGTATGTTTCTCCCATGTACTAAGTAATAGAGTAAACCTTGCTGTCAAACTTTGTAATGTCGCACTTTTACAAAGTCACATTAAGAAAATCACTTTTGCTAATATCTTTGATGGTGATTCTTTAAGTGATCTAAACCTCTCCTTTCGTGACACCGACCTATGTGTAACTAGAGGGAAGAGGGAGAATTAGGCATCCTTACAGATGTCATATGTCCCTAAGATGCAGTGAAGTAGGATCATCAGGGGTTGATCTTGTGGGGAGAAGCACAGCACTCCTGAAAGCACTGGGGCCTGGATGAGGTCAGTAGAAAAGTCACTGCTCTCCCTCAGCCTGTGTGAAGCAGGGAACAACTGGTGGAGGCAGCTGCCTCCAACTGCCACACAAGCAGGCGTCACCGTGAGAAAAGGATGAGATGTCTAAGTCAACTGAAATGAAAGATAAACTATCATTCTTTGTAATAAATATTGTTTTCTATGCAATTTTCACTTTTGCATGCTATTGCATATCTATTCTAGTGCTGCATATCATGCCCTTCTATAGCCATGTCATGAAAAGACGTTGGACAAAAAAATAGAGGAAAATATTTTTTAACATTCTGGAGAGGTAATTTTGGGTTATTTTCTGATAAAACATTCATAGGAAGCAATATAATAACATGAAGAATTTGATAACCATTTTTTATGAATTCTGATTAATATTTGGTGAATATATTTTGATCAGCTGTCTGGTAGAGTTGCATACCTCTTCTTCCTTACTTTCAGAAACCAACATAAGCAAATCCACTTGTTTCAACATGACAGTAAAAATTAAACTGTTCGTCTTATTTCTCCAGCAAATCCTTTACCAGATTTTTATCTATAATCATAGAATGCTCAAAATGTGTAATATCCATTTCAGTAATAGCATTAAAATACTAATCCTGGTATGCTTATGGAAGAGGCTTATTATTTAGGTATTTAGACACAGCTGGACAGCCATCCTGAAAAGTTTGTGCTGTGTGGAAACAATAGTTTTCATTAAAAAAAAAAAATAAAAATGTTAATTTTTACTCATACCACCGAGTATTACTGAGCCCCTAGCAAACAGCAGAGATCAGAAACTAAACGGGTTGGAAAACTTCACTCAGCCCCATGGTTTCTGGAGAGGGAATGGTGAAAGATACAGAGCAATTTATGTGAGAACTTCCCAGAATAGAATTGGCACTAAAAATGCATATATTCCTTATTTCAGGTACATCACTTCAGCAAGAGCCATGCATGTACTCATCTGAGGGCAAAAATCAAGTCTTTTATGAATAGGTCTAAACTATTGTGAAGCATTCGCTGAAAGAAGTAGATTTCTCAAGTGAAACCACATTAAAGGCAGCATGTATCCCCTCTGTCTGCATGACATTCAGGATAGCCTTAAATAAACAGAAAAAAACCAAAACATCGTCACTCACAAACTTTGTTGTATTTTGGAACACCTCTTCATACTGCATGGAATTTACAGTTTGAACGCTATCACTGTAAAATCCTTTCAGTTTAATGACCCCTGGGTATATTTTCCCTGGAATGAGAACAGAGAATATTAATTAATTAGAAAGCATTCAACTGAGTCGGGTTTCACCTTAGAGTTCTCCAGCTTTCAGAGATAGGGAAATACAATGCAGAAATCAATCAGTGCTATTTTTCATATACTGGAGGAATCAGTAGCAAACAAATATTTGCTCAATCAATCCAGTTACAATGGGGGATGTACTCTGGCTACCTGAGAAGCAGGCAGGATCCTGGGCTCAACCAAACTGGCCAAACTATGAAACTGAAAAACATCAAACTGTAAGCATGGCCTGAAGCTAACAAAAGACTCCATCTGAGGTGTTACAGCATTTAGTGAGAAAATACCTATATTAAGGACTCCAAAGTTGCAGCCACTAAGCAACTAACGTGGTTCACCGTATCTGAAAAAGCAATTCAGTGTCTACCTGCTTCTTTGGGCTCACAAGTAAATTTGAGAATCCTGCTTGTTGCCACTTAAAATAAGAAGCCTCATTGGTCACATGCTTGGCCTTCAGCGGTATCTCAGAGATGCGTTTCAGCAGGACTGTGATGAGTGTTCAGCAATAGGGAAAATCAAGCCGGTTGTTCATAGGTCTTCATGAGTTTGGGCTTTTTAAAATCCTGGCCACTGATATTGATGTCAGGTTTACGCTTGCATTTTTTTCTGCTTTTGACTCATTTTAATCTCCAGTACCCCTGACAGAGAACTCACCTTCTTTCCCTAGCACATAAATCTCTTTGGCTGTTACTTTTTTGTGAGATAACAATCTAGGTCATTGTAGCAGTGGCTGTCTGCAAAGCAAGGCATTATTCAGCAGTAACTTTCCCAGACTGATTATGTTTTCAGTTATGAGAACAAGGGATATGGGAAGAAAAATTCACCTGAGCAGTTATCTACGAACTAAAAATATAGATTGCCCTTCTGTAACTCACCTTTGTGACAATCCTTGTTTCTATAGTAGAATCCATATTGGCACAGGCAAGTAAAAGTGCTATATAAAGCAACACATTTAGCCAATTTTTCTCCACAAGAGTCTGGGTTGCACAAGTCCCCTGATACAAAGATGAAAGATAGTGACGTCAGGATTTCTATGAAATTGCAATAACCAGTTCATATATAAAGTAGTTCATATATTAAATAGTTCATATATACTTCTACTAAAGGAAACTACCAGGTATGTTTTATAGAGCAGAGATGCATTTAAAGAGCCCATGGCTATGTCTTGTTTGCTTAATGTCTGTATAGTAACTGTTTTCCCTACAGAGTCCAGCAGGATATCACAGTGAGGACACAGAGTAATGCTGAAATTCATTATCTGTCATACTGAGCATTCGCAATGGAACTCTACTTAATACAACTAAAACCAAAACAAACAAAGTATATTGAGGGTTCCCAAAATCAGTGATTAAGTTAGAAAAAGGCAAACTACAATAACCTGTGCATCTTTAATACTGCACTTGTATGTACTTGCATTATTATAATACAGTATCATGGTAGGCTCTTTTAACACAGACACATTAATAAAACAAAGGCTCGCAAATTAATCATTATAGTATACATAGCAGCATACTCTGATATCTATTGAGGTAAGGAATTTGTTGCAGAGCTTACAGCTGTCAACAGTTGTCTTTTTTGTAGGGTATGCCCTTTGCCTAAAATGGCCACAGTTATAATTTCTCTGAGTAGCTATATATTCAGAAAGGATTTTAGAGTATGTATTTCATATCTATACATATTTCATTAGTTTATAAGTAATCAAAAGTTATATTTCAATATACATTATATATCAGATAGTAATTACAATTTTCTTATAGGTCACCAAATTCTGCTTTTCACCCTGCCTGCTTTCATTACTTAAATTCATAGGTATGTTCTCATAGATGAGGCAGAGAGTTTCTGCGCAACGTGGAAAAACAAAGTAACTCTCTTTCATCTCCCCAAAAGTGGAAAGGAAAAAACTTAATGAACTTTCATTGCCTAGAGGGCTCATCTCCAGATGTTATGTTTCCAGAGCTCCTCCTGAAGACGAATACTTTTTCTGGAGTAAGGAATCCCAATCAGAAAGCCTGCAACAACATCTCCAAAATTCTCCCCTTCCAGCAAAAGCCAGCAGGGAAGAGTGGAGAGATGTCACAGCATAAATGGGAGCTATTTATTATCTCCCCTGGAAAGTCCCACTGGGGTCGGACTTTGGCAGAGCTTGGAGGATTGCTGGGATGGAACTCTCCATGCTCCCTGGCCGTGACCCCAGGCACTCAGCCCCATGCTGGTTTGTGCCCCGGCTCCCCCCCTGCCCGTGCTCCAAGCAGCCACAGGAACAACTCCCTGGAGGTCCCAGTCATGGGCTTGCCCTGGGCACCTCCTCTGCAGGGATCCTCTTGCACTCGGGACTGGTGCAGGAGGCTAAGGCACCAAGCAGGAAAAGAGCAGCCTCTCTCTTCTAATCTTCCCCAACACTTTCCCTGTTGCAGCAAAGGCCAACAAGGAAAGAGGGAGGAGTGGAGAGCGTTCCCAGCCTTGATCTAGGCACCTTTGTCTCCCCTGGGAGAGGAACCCGGAGGAAAATGGGAAGGGGGTCTTGCCCCTGCCTGTGGGGCCTGCAGAGCTCCCTCGGACTGAGTTACTCCAATCTATCCTCGGAAAGGGATGACTGAGGCCCTTTGCTCCTTACCTGAAGCTGTTGTCATCACAGGTGTGGTAGTAGTATTTCCAGTGCTGTTTCCTGATGAAAGGAAAAGGAGACGGTAGCACAGCTTAGTGTTGTGTGTTGGAAAAGTCTTGGGGAACTCTGTGTGCGCAGGACAACTCTGAGCAGGTAGAGTGGGGGACTTGCGTGGGGCTGAGCAGCCACAGCCCCGGGCAGCCATGTCCTGACTTTGGGCTCTCCCTGGCCATGATGGCTCATTGGTGTCATTTCTTCCTTCGTAGTCCTTCTCCCTCCCCTTGGCATTTGGCTCCTTCACACCAACAGCATTTTTGTACCCTTCCTGCCTTTATTCTCTAGGCGATTGTGGCGTGCTCAATTGCCAGCATATGCATGTCTCCCTGCAATACAGCTCCCTCCGCCTTCCCAAGGCAGGACCACACGGCCAGTGCTGGCTGCCAGAGCAGGGTCAGGGGAATCTCATTCTCTCATATACTTTAGCCTGAGAGCTAGCTGAGCTGTGACCTAGTGCCAGTGTTCCCTCCTTCTCTTTGTATGTCAATTCGCTTTTTTCATCCCTTAAACAAGCAGTGCCTTTACCATTATGCATTTTCAGTAGTTGCACTGTTTTTAATTAGATTTACATGACATTGCACTCCGCAGTTAACTTTATCACAGTGGCTCTTGAGATTCTGCTCTAGACCTCAGCTAAATCCACAGAAAATACATTTGCTGCAAGATATACATATATAGATACTTTGCAAATATGGAAGATGCTCTCAGGAGAGGCAGCATTAAAAACTCTATATGGACTCTTTCAGAGCAGCAGTGGAAGAATGACTGCCTTTGCTAACACCTTCTCCTATGCTGTAACAAACTCAAGTGGACATTGAAAGCAGAGTATTTTTATTCAAAGAATGCATATTTTGCTAAATTATCATCAGTGGTATCAAGACCCTCTTTCCAGGACTACACTTCCATGCAGTTATGACGGTATATATTATTTCTCTCATTCTTTTCCTTCCTTGTTATAATTCTTTCTGAATAGAGAGAAACCTGGCTGATACCAGACAATAGTTGAAAAATATTTTCCTCACATTCTGCTTTCAGCATTACTTGTTGCTGTGTTTACTCTTCCAAAGTATTTTATTTATTTATTTTTATGATGTTTATTTTGTATTTAAACTGTGTCATTCTTAACTCTTGATGTAAAGAATGTTTGGATTTTTTTTTTTTTTTGGCTAGAAGTAATGAGAACAAATAATAAAACAGCCTTGCTGATAAATATGTGATACTGACAAATGGCCCGTTTGGATCATATGATCTAACTTTAATCTGAAATGGTTAATACATGAGTCAGGAATAAATGTATTTACTCTGAGTTAATGCAGCTGCAATCATAATTTAATCTAAGTCATTAACAGCATGCAGCTGGATGACTAACGTATTTGTGGCTAAAATCCTTGGAACTAACACTCTCTTATAGCTGGTATATTAAAAAAATATTGCAAATCTCAACAGACATTTGAAAAATAGACTCCACTTTTCAAACGCTTTGTAGAGCTTTGAAAATCCAAAGTGAGGCAAATTTTACACAATTTTTTCTTCTGATCAATAAAGCTGACACAGAAAAGGCACATCAAAAACACAATGCTTGAAGTAATCCGTTAGTCTCCTATAGGTGAAGGGGAAACATAAGCAATTGTGCCAGTTCTCTGCCAAGTCTTCTACCTCCACTGGTCATCAAGTCCTATAGGCAGCATTATTTGCTTCCCAGTCAATGTAAAGAAATGTACATTTTTCCTATAACCATGATAACATGAATCTGTGCTGGCCACAGGCCATGGTTTTGGAGCATTGTTTAGACTGCCTTCTCAAAATGGATGTTGGGGCAGTAACCGCTTACAGAGCTAGTCCTTAGTCTACAACAACTGTTAGCCTTGTAGAGGCTCTGGCTAACAGTCATCCAGGAGTATCCTTTGGACTCAGGAAGAATTGTGTCTGTGGTGACAGCAGAGCACATGAGCTGCAATTGAACATGGCTGACAGGCTTGTCAGAGGTAACCTGAGTAAAGGTGGCTATTTTATGGCTCTGTCTGCCTAGGCCTAGCCTTCTGTGTAAGGAAACAGAATGTGCTAATAGACTTAGGTGTTTATTATGGAGATAAAGAAATGGATGTTACGACTGAGGTTATGGAATAACAGAGACATCTGGCTGCTGAGCAGGGCAGGGCCTTTGCCAGTACTATTCAAACAGACACATCCTGCAAACCTTTTACAATATTTACTTAGAATGAAAAAGGTTTCTGGGCAGGCCCATCTTGATGCAAAGTCTGTTCAAGTAAGTGAAAGACTCATGTTGCTTTCCGTAGCTCTTGTGTCAAGATTTTTCGCATCTTGCTGTTACCCACAAGCCTCCAAACAGAAAACTAACTAACTGACAATCTTGAAGACTTCTATGCTTAAAATTTATAGCTAAAAATTGGTCTGTAACATGTTGTAGGTGTTGCTGGAAATGTGTATGTTCACTCACGGTAGTCAACAGAGACCCACAACCATCTGTCACCAGTTGCAAGCTCAACAGCGTCAGTGAAGGTCTTAATTTGGCTCATATCTCTGTAACTTTATCTCCATTATTAGCTGGGAGTTTCCGTCCTCCCACAGCTTCAAGTTGCCACAAAACTCTTCATATAGTTGCCTTAACTCTACTTCTGCCAAAGCCTTCGCTCCCTTGTATCTGTCACTGAGTATCAGGGACAGGAAAGTTTGGGCAGAGGCTCTGGCCCACAACTACCGAATTTGTCACAATGGAGAAAAAGTAGTAAGTGGCTTCAGGAATGACACCTGCTCTTCAGTTTGAATAGACCACGGTGCAACTCTCTGCCACCCAAGTTGGTGGTGAAGTTCCCATTAATTTCAACAGGAGGGAACAAATGGTCTGTGAGCCAGCTCAGGCGGCACTGCTTTCCAGACTGATTGGTTAAGGAGCCTCTGGCCGGAAAGCCAGCGGCAGCACTCCTTTCCCTGGGTACTGGGGTGGAACAGTCGCACCTTTTGTTATGACTGTAATAGAGCTTGAATTACCTGGGTTTAGCATGCAGGTCCCCAAAACTGCTCTTGGAATAGGCTAAATTAAGTTAATCACAAGCACCAGTGATTTTGCATTGTTCTGTGAACAAGGAAAACGGTTGGCTTGCAGTAACATTTTTCATCATTAAGTAACCAAAATCTAGACATGCTGAGTTGTGTATCGCCACTGACCTCCAGCCTCTCAGCAGCTGCTGAAAGTACTAAGTGATCCATTCACTGCCACAGAATAGCTGCCCTGATAAATCCCAAAACAGAAGATAGTGTTTCTTACCTTCCGAAAGGCTCAACATCAGGATGGGCACCACAGCGAGGAATACACAGCGTCTCATTGCCGCTTCTGTTGCTGCTGCTACTTGCTGTTAAACCTAAGAGAAAGTGCTTTTCTCTTCTGGTGTCAGCCTATTTAAGGTCCCAGCCACAGGTAGAGAGTTCAGCCCTGAGCTGACGTCATGGTGGCAAGCAGCAAATGATAGATCCAAGCTGTGTTTTTTCTTCCTCCTCAGGCTGGGAGGAGATTTCTGGACCTGCCGTGTTCTTCCTTTAAGTCATAAATTCTTGAGACCTGTTGACACAAGGAAGTTACTGCTAAATAAGCTGACATGGGAACTGAGAGCACACCAGCTATCCCCTGCCAGCTCTCCATACTGACACCTTCAATGCAAATTAGATGGAGGGTGCTGTATAATCTGTTCTTAAAGTGGAAGAAGCTATCCTATCCCAAGGCATGCTAATTATGCACTTGGAGCAGAGTAGCTGGGATTCACATGCTCACTTTCCTTTGCAATAAATTACCAGTACAGACAAGCTTTATAACTCAGACTCCAACTGTTCTTTCCTTATAAGCAAAATTTTATGCCAAAGCACTTCTTACTGCTCAACAGGTTAAAAAGCAACAGACAATACCTACATCTTTGTCATCAAAGAAACAGGACTGACCCTGGGCCTTCTGGCAGTGATTATGGCTATTTTGTTTGCTGCTATCTTATGTGTGTTACAGGCTCACAAAAGTGGTGGCAAGAGAAGAGGGAGCAGGCAGGACAGCCAGCAGGTGTTTGACTTCATCTGGATGGCAGCCCTCCTTTCTTGAGAGGAAGCATGTTCGTGCTGGGGGGACATTTGGAAGCAGGGATGGTCAGGCTGGAGCAGGGAGCCCACAGCAGATCTTGAAGTGAGAAATAGCCCAGAAGGCCATGGAGCAGGTAACACAGCTATGACACAGGGAAAATAGGCGGGAGACAGAGGCTTTTTGACATTGCATCTCATGAAGCCTATGAAAATTGCTAGATAGAGACCAAGATGGAAGAAAAGGTCTCTGTGGGCAGGACCTGGTTTTCCCAAACCCTCTTATTTTTAATTTTGCCTCACCTGCCCAAGTTCTCTAGCTGAACAGTGTGTTTGTTCTGCTTTGTGCTCTAGTAAAATGCGCTGCTTGAGCCCATTAGAAATTGGATGGCCCACAGTGGTTTTCAGTTCCTCCTTTTCAGGCAAAGGTGTCATTTCTCTCACTTCAAAGGTCTGGGTGACCCTGGATCCTGCCACAACTGCCAGTAAAGTCTTTCTGTGAAATAAACACAGGTTATGCCATCATTATCGGACATGCACAAGAAGGTTGAGCAACCCATTGGTGTATCCCCCACAAAGCCACCTCTAATGTCTGCGGAGCTGGTCTCCTCTGGCAAACTCCACTGCCAGCAACACTGGCAGGTTATACATGTTTCTGAATGTGAAGTAAAACAGCTCTGTGTGTTAAACACCTCTCCCCTTCCTTCACCTGCTTTTGTTTGATCTGCTGTTTTAAGAATAAGACATGCCAGTCTCGTGTGCTAATCTCATATATTCAAGAGGGTGGATGCCCTTGTATGTAGGCGGGTGGGAGAGACCAGAAGTATTACTCAAGTCATTCCTGAGCTTAGGGTTGTCCTAAACTTTTACCTTGCACTGAACCAGGAAACACTGGTGGCTTACGGACAGCAAAAACTGTTGGCTGCTTCTCTGCTGGCACGGGAAACAAGCGGCCTCGTCCCTCTGCGCCCTGCCATGTGGACCTGCTCAGGGCGCCGAGCCCGAACCGTGGGGTGTTTTGTCTGCATCTTCCTTTGCCCCTCTGGCCCCGAAGCCCCTCCAGTGCAGCCTGCTACCCGCACCTACCCCCAGTCCCCACAGTGACCCCCCTGGCAGCACCTGCCCTATGGCAGCCTGGGACTCACCCACAGACCCCCCAGGAAGCCCCATGGCCGACACCCTGTGTGGTCACCAGGGTGGTTATGTGGGGTGGCAGAAAACCCAGACTCTGAGGGGAGGCTGGTATCGGGGTCTCAACGTGCCCCCCCTCGGGGGGGGGTCAGTGCCAGGGGCAGGGCCCAGTCATGGGGGCTGCCCCGGCCTTCCCCAGGGTGGTGGGCCTGCCCAGGGCAGGGGGCCGCATCATGGGGGATCAGGCCAAGCTAGGGAGTCCCTCAGGAGTCAGCGCTGGGCAGGGGCCCCTAGGCCCGAGACAGCCCACGCTCACTGTCAGCGAGCTGCAGGGCTGAGGGCGGTGGGGGACCAGGAGCAGCCAGGGCCCGTCCCACTGCCCCCGGCCAGGGAGCAGGGCCGGCCTGTGAGGGTGGCCAGGGTCAGGGCCAGCCCCGGGGCGACCTGGGGCATGCTTGGGTTCCTCACTCCAGCCACCCCCGCCCCGGCCCATGCTGGATCCAGCTTCTGCCCCGGCTGCTGCTTGCTCCCATGCCAGCCACGCAGCCCGGCCCCTTTGGTTCCTCTAGACCTCTCCTTAAAACTCCCCTTTGCCGGGGAGCTGACAGAAAAAGGAAAGGAAATGCCTGGAAAACATTTGTCACCAGAGTGCTGTTCCCGCCCTCTGCCCCAGGCCACCACTACCCTCCCGGCTTTGCCTCACACAAGGCAGGGGCACCCAAAAACTAAACCCAGACTCTCGCTCAAATAAAGCATTTCAGTCCTGAGCAGACTGGGCTGTGAGCCTCCAGGGACACCCAACACCCCTGGCACCAGCCATGTGGGGAGCCACAGCATGTGCTTAAGATGGAAATCAGTGTGCAGAGGGGGACAAGGCTGGCTGTGGAGGGTGTTTGGCAGAGCTGCCTGCCACTGGTCCTCTGGCAATGTCCATCTCCCATATCTAGACTCTCCAGTGATCACGATACATCCTCATTTTCAGGATGCCGCTTCAGGGTGCAACCAAACTAATCCAGGTCTTAAAATCTCCCTGTTGGCTGTGAAGTGAGTGTGTAGGACCAAGAGAAGTTCCCAGAGCACTGTTGAAAATGAGGGTCGGGTCTTCATCAGGTGTAAATGGTGCAGCTTCGCTGGCTACACTGGTATCTACAGGTTGAGTGCATAGTCCTGCACATTAAAACTGTTCTTTACAGTGAATGCACATCAGGAGCTGGCATATTGACTAAATTTTTAGAGTTCATTTCCATTCTTACTTGGTTGTTCATGTTTATCATGATCACAGTTTGGGAAGTGTGGATCATTTGTAATGCAACGGCACTAGTTCCTCCAGAAAATAATGCGCTGAACAGACACACCCCGTCGCATACCAGACCTTTACATCTCTGCATGCCCTTCCCTGTCCATTTTGTGACACACCGGTGGTCACAACTGGCTCTCCCTGGGGAGAAGAGGGGTGACAAGCTGTATGTGCCCCATTGCTTGCCAATTTGTGGGGGAATTAGTAATAGAGATTTGATGGTTTAGGAGAACAGACACAGAATTACCAAAACAGGAGAACTGATGTCAATGAAACATCAGCAGCTCTACTGCAATTATTAATGACGTTATTAAGCACCTGTTTGGACAATAGATAGTTGACTGTTATTCCAGACAGACTTGCACAGCCACAGCAGTTGTGATGTCCTGTAAGAAATTACAGAGAAAATTTTCTTTGCAGAAATAACTAAATAATTTTACAGAAGCTGTACTGACATATGAGTATTATGGAATAAAAAGTGTGCTATATTTAGTAACAAACACAGAAGTTGTTCTCTTGCCTTGATGAGTGTATCAAAGAAGTATCAAAGGTAAAAGGCCTTGTTTATCTATTGGAAGGTACATAGTCCTGTGTGGCCTCATTATTTAACTGTAAGTTGCATGTAATCAAGGGGCAATCATACTGTCAGAAGACGTATGTTAAAGTAGGACAAAGTGTCTGTTACAGCTTTTCATGTGCGTCAGCCTGATACTTTCTTCCTGCTTATTTTTTCAATCCTATTCCTTACTAGATTCCTGTACATTTTGCTATCTCGTGTAAATTTGGTTCATCCACTGTATATTACATACACAAGTAGAAATATATGTTGTAATTAGCTAAAAGTTCAAAAAAACCCTCCAGAAAGTCTAAATCAAAGTGCTATACATACAGATTCGCTTACAATCGGGGAAGCAGGTGCACTTTGACTTCTTTTCAGGTGGTTTCCAAGATGGTTGAGGGCACACACTATGGATGCATTTGATGGTCTCAGAGGCACGGATATGCAAATCTGAAGTGGGCAGGACTGTTAAATCATGTCTTGCCCATAACTGCAAAGGGCTTTTGCCTAGTCTCATGGCAATGTTGTGACCAGTCCTTTTGCACTGCCAATTTCCTTAAAAGATACCAACATCACACAGAAAATAGAACAACTTGCAATAGTATTGGTAACAAAACTGTTAACAGTCCTTCTCTTGCAAATGAACAGAACCCCAGGATTTAATCGAGTTATTGTCTCCTCTATTTTTCCACCAGTCTTACTAGACAAGGAGCAGGCATATAACACAGTTCTGTACTATATCACAGTAGAAAGTAGACTGAAGTTTCAGGCTATATCAAGAAGTATGTTCTAGACTCACCACTTCTCTGTGAGTGGCACTCACTTCATCTAGGGCAGCTGGCTCGCGTGGGGTCTTGTGACACTGCTGTCAAGGGTAAGGGATATCTCACCATGGGGTGAGCTACCCTCTGTGGATGCTTGTCTCTTTTCATGGCTACTGGAGGAGCCAGATGGTGGGTTCAAACTGGCCACCTAGCTTTTGGCAGAGCAGATGAATTCCACCTTAGTCCCATGGGATTGCTGTTGCAGTTGAGTGTTGTACTCCTCTGGAGCAATATAGGAAAAGATTGTCCCAAATGATCATACCTGCCATTACTCCAGATGCTCTTCCACATCACGCCTCTTCCCAGCAGCCTAGGCTGGACATTGTGTTCATCTGGATTCAAAGTACCCTCCTTCCCCTGAGAGACACTCAGCTGTATATTCTTCACAGTCCCCGGTGGCACTTACTGAGGTAGGACTGATCTCACTGCGGTCAGGTCCAGTCCCTTGCCCTTGGA